GCGTTTCCCGGCGTGGGGGTGGTGTCCGAGGGAACCCCCGGAGGGGCCGGGCCGGGCGTGCTCCTCGCCGAGAGACCCCCACCGCGCTGGGTCGGCCCCGCGACACCAGCAGGGTCCTCCGGGACGGCGGGATGTCGCTTCTACAAGCCCGTACAGACAAGAAAAGCTCAAACTGCTGCTGAGCCTTCCATGCACGCCAAGCCTGTCGCCTCTGTAGGAAGGGCAGTGTTTCCCGCTCAGCACAGGTATTCCCTTAGTGATGGATTTAGAACCATAACGTAAACAATACAAAACACTTTACAAAGGTCTGTCAGATCATTCTTTCCAATAAGTCATTCATTCACCTGAAGTCCCGGGAAAGGCAGTGCTGTGATACTCATCGACCAGTGTTTAACAAAGCAAATCCCATCCCTCAATCACAACACCGAGTTTAAGCTTGACACGGTTGAGTTTTAGTCAATTTGCATTAATTGCAGAAACACCGCTGTGGTGACAACACATTTTCAAACGAGCTTGGAGGGACAGCTCCTTGGCTGGCTGAAGGTGACATAAGACCACGCTGCTGCCAAAAGCCCCGCTCCCGCTGTGGCTCCGGTGCCTTGCGTTAGTGACACACTTCCGCTGGCCTGGCTGGGAACTGTGCAGTGGGCCGAGCTGACCCCCCCTCGGCACGGTCGCTTCATCATTAGCGTCACCGCAAGGAGATAGGCGGCCCAGGCAGGATAGCGGCAAGACCGGACTGTCCCTTCCACAGGCTTAAGCCAACTGGGAGACTACCACTAAGGTCTTAAAACAATGTGAAGATAACAAATGATCGAAGCTCATTAAGACCAAAGGACAATACAATGATTATATTCCTTTTTTTTCCTTCACATATGCTGTAAATATAATTTCAGAAAAGCACACTCAAGAGCAATTATTGTTTCAAAGGCACAGCACTTCCAAAGGACTGGCATTTTCCATTATCCTTAGGGCCCTTACTCACTTCAGTCCTCTGCTCCACAAGTGGCTTGTACACGAGCGCAAAGCTGACTCTTTCCTGTGACTTCAGCAGCAACCGAGTCTTCGCTGCGAACACTTCCACCAGGTCTGCACTGTGCCCTCTCGTCGCACCAACCCCTCCCTGCGAGTCTGTGCCGCAGCCCCGTGACGACAGACGCAGGTGGTTTTCTTTCCGTGTAAGGTGCTGATTATTTCTTGTTTGGCTTCGCAGGGATAGGAAATTATATATTGGGTCATAATAGTCAATATTTGTGCAGTAAAAAAAAAAAAAATTGTAAGAACAGCCCACGTAGGTATCCAAAAGCTTGTGATAAGCCAATGTTCCCCATGTAATCGTGGTGTCCATACGGCAGAGCTGTCGTCTCTATACGCTTATTAAAACAAAACGCTTCAACACTCTTCAGGCAGGCTGGCAGAGTGATGTGCTAATCTGCTCCCATTAACACGACAGCAAATTCCCAGCTGATCACCCAACTCAAATTAAGCACATGTAATCTCACGGTGACACTCACCACGGTGTTAACGTAATGCACACACAGAGATAGTCGGGATGAAGGACATGTCCTCGGGAGCGCTCAGCTTCCAACCTTAATGTCATTTAGGCGTTCTGCATTTTAATATGGGTCATTAACACCAAACTCCTGTAATGAATGTTTTAAAGACAGAGCCTTTTAACTGTGTCTATCTTCTACGCACCTCGCAAGGGCGTAGGCGATGTTACAGGTTTTCCAGTTCGTGGCAGGATGGGGGAGTCCCGTCAGACTCCACCATGGAGGTGTACTTTATTGGAGGTGGCGGTGGCTTGAAAGATGGAGGTCTGTTCATGCTGAAAGAGAAAAAAGCTGTATAAAAGACTGTTGTAAAACGTCCACAGGAGGAGGTAGATGGACATTAAGTCATTATAAGAGCAACTGACATTTGCTCTTACACACTGCGACTTCCCCGTTTCTGTTCTATGCCCCCAGCGCACCTCCTGGTATTCATTTGCCTTTCTCTGCTGCCACCTCACAATTTTAACTTTATTCATGCTTTAAAGGAACAGACCGTGGTCACAGTCAATCATTGAAAACCCTTGCAGACATCGTTTGTTCTCTGAAGGTATATTTAAAGGCTCATAACTTTTTTTTGTCAATTTATAGGCCAAAATAAAGGTCTCATCCCAAATCAGTGAAAGCATTAAATCCCATTTTTATCTTTGATATATGGGATTTGCAGTCATATTTTGAAAGGGTTTTCTAGAACTGCAAATGATTCATTATCACCATGATTTTTCAAACATTTCAGTAAAGTTTGTAAGATTAAAAATAATTGGCTCTTAGATATTGCTTTCATCAGTAGATCTCCGAGTGCTTTAATAGGGAATTAAACTTTGGTAACAATTACAAACTCAATGCTTCTTTGACTGGGATTAAGTTTCAGGTAGCCTACTTTCACATGTATTATTCACAACTCAAATAGATTTGCCCTAGAAGTACAATTTCATTAAAAACTGCCCTCAAGTAACCACACAAAATGAGAGAGCAAAGGCAGCTGGCAGGGAGGCTGATAGGAGTTGGGGGCTCTGGAGAAAAAAATTGACTCGTAGTCTTCCCTCACACCCTGAAGCTGCGCCGCAGCTCTTTTTTTAAAGTTTGCTTTATAGATAACCCACAGAACAGATGAAAGGACTGAGAACACATTTCATAACAGCTGTATGAAAAAAGATGGCATTAGAGATGCCCGTGCTTAAAGGCCGCGTGCACTACGGGCAGTCTCCAGTGAAAATGTGTGAATCCAAACAGCTGGGTTAGAGTTTGTGCTGTCCTCTGTGCCACCCTCCCGCCCCCGTGATTCCCCTCTCTAGTACTTACATCTCTTTCTGGTACTGACACCATTTCCTGATGCCTAGCGCTATTAGAAAGCTGCAGAAGAGGAGCAGGACAGCTACCACTGTTGGCCAGGGGAAGCGACTGGCTTTCGCGTTCCACGCGCCACCTGGAAGGGACATGGGAGATGGAGCTCAGCCGAACATCCTCAGATGGGAGGGAAATCTGGGCTCGCTGCCTGTGGCTCACTGCCCCCCCTCCAGGCCTGGTACACAGTCCCAGAGCAACACCAGACTGCCAGGTTCCCAAGCTGAGGATCCCAAACTCTGAGCATTACGGCTCTGATTACTGGACTTAGCCCACTCTGGTTCTGACTGGGTTTGCGGGCTGCTTTCAGCTGTCCATCGGCTCATGTCATGAGATTATTCAGACACAGCCCAGCAACAATTTAATCTGAAAACTATTAGTTCTCTCTGTTCCCTCATCAGTTCCTCTGAGAAGAGGACAGATGTCGCAGTGCATCAGGCACAGCTGCCTTCCCCGTCCCTCCTTCTCACCAGCTTATTTCTCACACCACTGGCTCCAAACCCTGCCAAAACATCTGGCCAAGGGCACAGCTACCTTTTGGGTTGGGCTCTCGTTGGCCGTGCAGCACCACAACCTCGCCCCAGCTGCCTCTCCCCACTGCGGTGCTGGGACGCCCCACTGCCCCCTTCTGCACAGCCACCCTAGGGGGTGCTGGTGATGGATTGAGGTGCCCTTGAGGTCCTGGCTATGGGGAGGAAGGAGAGGAGGAGCACAGTCCTCTGCCAGCTGCTGCAGAGGATGCATCAGTGGGCTGGCTGCCAGAGAGGGCTGGAACACAGGAGTCACTGGGCGATGCCGCCTCAGTGTCACCTCCCGTTGTGCTGGTGTCACCATTCTTTGCTAGGCTGGTCATCCTGGTACGTCACCCAGACGGGGTCTTGGCCACAGTGGCAGCCAGTGCTGCGACCAGGCAACAAGTCCACCACACTGCATGAGCCGTGAGTGGTCCCCGAGTTGCAGGAGTGTGCCGGCCAAATTCTGCTGCTGGAGGAAAACATGCACTGGGGCATTGCTTGAGGATACAGGGAGAAGGCAAGAATTCCAAAAGCCTGTGACAACCCATGGTGTGGGGACACAGCAGCCCTGACTCCTCTTTTCACCTCTTTTCCCATTTTTGAACTCCCCTGGTGAAATTTATGCAATGCTCTGGGTTTTGTGCTTCTCCACTTTTCTTGCTTACTGCAACGGCATGCTGAAAGAAGAAGATTTGTAGGATAACATCTCACTTGTACTATTGAGCAGGCTGCTTGTAGTAAAGAAATCTTTCCCTCTGGTAACTGAAATTGGCTGGTCTGTGATGCTGAAGGACAGGTTACCTAAAAATATATGGGCACAGGCAATTTTTAGTCACTTGCTTGGGTTGCTTTTAATGAAGGTTGTGTTTTGAAGTCACTCTTATTCACCCTGCTGAAGACTGGAAACCAAAATCCAGAGGCAGGGTGTCAAAATTCACTTGGCAAAATGCCTACGTTTTTGGCCTACAACCCAGTGTTAGACAAAAAATGTGCTTTTATCAAATTAAATAATACTAGAAGAAAGAAAGAAAGAATATAGAAAACACCTATTAAGATGCTCCAGCAAGCCAGCATTGAGCTGCACAGCGGTCTGGGAGAATGATAAGCTTTTTACCTCTTTGATGATAATGAAAAAGCTAAAGACATTAAGTGGCTTAGCAGCAACACAAAGAGTCTGCCTTTGCTGTGACTGAGTGAAACCTCAGTCTCCTCTGTCAAGTACTGTGTCTGAACCACAAAAATCATCTTTCATCTGTTTGTAGACAGATATTTTGCCTTTCTTAATACAGCTAAGCTACCTATGTTTAAGATCAGTGCTGCCTAAGGATACATTCCTGTTTTTTCTAGTTGTCTGTGTTCATGCCTTCTGAAATAATAGCTAAAATACACAACTAGACAATGGCACAGGGTTTCCAGAGCTGCCACGGCACTTACGATACACCCGGGTTGCATTCTCAGGGGAGCGTGTGGCATTTCTGAGGCTTTGTGGGGATTTGGTGGTGGAATCGTTCAGATCTGCACGAAAAGAAATAATATCCTTCAATTACCTTACAAGCATGTACGTGATTGCTTTATTAGGTTTAAATATGGCTATTTTATGCCCTTCACTTTTCTCTGATGCGAACAACAAATGACGTAACAGAGACACCTGAAAGTCTCTAGTATAATTGCTGATTTATAAAACTAAGAAAAAAAATCCACAGTTTAAATGATGTAAATGAGTAACCAAATGGAGCCAGGAAAATCTCTTTCATATGAGATGCTGGTTCTGATTGAAATTGAGCACTCAAGTGTATATATATATATATATATATGTATTTATGTATGAAGAAGCCCTACCTAAATCAGTCCAATTTTAGGGCACTCTAAAAATTCACTAGGAGTTTTGGACCTTAATTAATTTCAGTTCTTCTTTTCTCCTTGTTTATTACATATTTAATTTTATGGGGATAAGCATGGTAGATCTGGCATTTTAAAAATGTATATATATATATACAAGAAGGATATATACTTGGAGATTCCATAGCGCTCTGCTCTATGCAGCATGCTGACAAGTGCTACTTATTATTATTTGCATAATGGCTTGTGCTAGAATCTCTGAGGACTGAACTGCTGACGGTACTCCCTGTTGTACAAGCCCGGTGGACCTGGGAGGACACGGGGACAAATGTTGGTATGCCTCAGTGGGCACACTGGTGCCCGTGCGCTCTGAAATTGTCCTTAATTACAGCTGCCGGACGGAGAACGCTTCCAGGACATGCCTCAGCTGGTGGTCAGGCAGGCACGACTGTAGGGAAGCTGAAGAGTGGTGCAACACACATTACCTCCTGCAAATCTTAGTGTAATTTGGCATGCTTTGAGCAAAAATTGCCACCAGCAAGTTGTGCAAGAGCAGCATCGTGAAGCATTAGAAGCTGTCACAAGGTTTCAGTCTGAATGCGTGGCTGTGGGTTATGCGTGGGTAAATAAACACTGGAATGCTGCCAAAAATATATTCAGAAAATGGGAAGCGGCTGCTACACCTGCGCTTCAGCCAAATGACGGCTGCCGTACAAATGCAAAAGTGCCTTGACAGGTCCTGCCTGTTCTGAAAGCACAAAGATGTTAAAAGAGAAAGTCACTTCTGGCTTTCTGCTGCTCAGCAGAGATTTTCTGAAGGGAAAGATTTGTACAAAAATGTCCACCCCTAGTGTTTTTTTTTATTGATTTATAGATCTTTAATGAGGCCACCTTTCAATGTTCTATTAGCCAGCCTTTATTGCCCCACATTATTGTATGATTTCATTGCTGCTCTGTGATTTTATTTACCTTCTCCAGTAACTTATTTCACCTATAAACTACCCTCAGTGCTCACTACATTTGCCTAGCAACTCTCTCAATTTTAATATTATTAAATTAAATACGCCTAATAAAACCAGGATACTCAAACGTTTTGCCGTTCCTCTTTTGCCGCTGCAAATCCTTGACGACTTAGAAGACTCAAGCCTTTATCTTCTAACTCAGTGCAACTCAACAGGGGAACTACTTTCTGCGTAGTACTGAAAAGCTGGTACAGATTATACCACCCGAATTTTGGCCACGGCTCAGATGCAACTTTTCCACGTTCAGTAATGATTTTTGCACGGCGATGTGATGACTATCAACGAGCAGTTGAAAATAAGCACTGCAGAGCTAACGTTCTTGGGAAAGGCATCACAAACCGAGGACGACGTAGGGGCGAGTACCTGCCTTTGTTCTTTTTGCAAGATACTGTTGTAGATTTGCAACCCAACACTCGCTAAGTTGGTGCCACATCTGCACTTTGCAGCACCCTTAACTGGCTTCATAACTCCCCTGTTACAGTCCTGTCAAGCAAAGGAGACGTGTCATCTACTCACGTGCTGTTGTCAAGCTCTCATTGAATGCTGTGGTGCCCGTATAGCTTTCTGTCTCTGCGGTAGAAATCAGCAGTCCT